GGAAAAATGCTGGTGGTATTTTGATAGGGATTGCATTGAATGTGTACATTGCTTTGGGTAGTATAGATATTTTAACAATAGTTCTTCTTCCTTTCCTTTTTTTTTAGCATAAAATCAATCTGTATTAGGTTTGAAATTTTAAATATTACCTGATTACATCACAAACATACAACATTTAAAGAAGAAAAGATACAAATTGTTGCATACACATTGGAATTAGTTTCCAAAATATCTTTAAGCCTATTTCCAGATAGATTACAAAATACAAATATTTTAGTAAAGCTTTATTTTCATGTAAAGAACATCTAAAATAGTATGAAAACTACATGCATTGATGAACCAATACTTGGAAAATGGGCTCATGAATCCTAGAGCCCACTTATATCAAAAAATGGTTGGCAAGTTAGTCATTAATTTAAAGAACTGCATTTAATAAAACAATGAAATTCAAAACCATATTTGATTTATTTGTGATCTGTCCTAGTACTATGCAGTGTAATTATTTCCAGTGAAATAATTATTAAGGGTTTCAAATTTAAATGTGTGCACTCAATTTGAACATGTGTTCTTTTTTAGCCTAAAACTGCTTGTAAAATTATAGTACTATGGGTACAATTAACACATTTTGTATTTGAAATAGTACTTTTTTAATTCTTTTTCTTATGTTATGTTAATCACCATACATTACATCATTTGTTTTTGACGTAGTGTTCCATGATTCATTGTTTGCGTATAACGCCCAGTGCTCCATGCAGTACGTGCCCTCTTTAATACCCATCACCAGGCTAACCCACCCCCCCACCCCCCTCCCCTCTAGAACCCTCAGTTTGTTTCTCAGAGTCTATAGTCTCCATGGTTCTTCTTTCTTTCCATGAGCATGGAATGTCCATTTCTTTGTGTCGTCTTCACTTTCTTTTGTAAGTGTTTTATAGTTTTCAGAGGACAGATCTTTTACCTCTTTAGTTAGGTTTATTCCTAGGTATCTTATGACTTTTGGTCCAGTTGTAAATGGAATTGATTCCTTGATTTCTCCTTCTGCTGTTTCATTACTGGTATATAGAAATGCAACAGATTTCTGTATGTTAATTGTATCCTGCAACTTTACTGAATTCGTGTATCAGTTCTAGCAAATTTTTGGTGGAGCTTTTCAGGTTTTCTAGAGTATAATGTCATCTGCAAATAGTGAAAATTTGACTTCTCCCTTGCCCATTTGGATGCCTTTTATTTCTTTTTGTTGTCTGATTGCTGAGGCTAGGCCTTCCAGTACTGTGTTGAACAATAGTGGTGAGAGTGGACATCCCTATCTTGTTCCTGACCACAGAGGAAAAACTCTGTTTTTCCCCACTGAGGAATATTAGCTCTGGGGCTTTTATATATGGCCTTTATGATCTTGAGGTATGTTCTCTCCATCCTACTCTGTTGAGGATTTTTATCAAGAATGGATGCTGTATTTTGTTAAATGCTTTTCTGCATCTGTTGAGATGATCACATGGTTCTTTCTTTTATTAACGTGGTGTATTATGTAGATTGATTCATGAATATTGAACCACCCCTACAGTACAGAATAAATCCCACTTGATCGTGGTGAATAATTCTTTTAATGTACTCTTGGATTTGATTTGCTAATATCTTGAGAATTTTTGCATCTGTTTTCATCAGGGATATTGGCCTGTAATTCTCTTTTTTAGTGGGGTCTTGTCTGGTTTTGGAATGAGGGTAATGTTGGCCTTGTAGAATGAGTTTGGAAGTTTCCCTTCCATTTCTATTTTTTTTGGAATGGTTTGAGAAGTATACATATTGACTCTTCTTTAAATGTCTGGTAGAATTCCCCTGGAGTAAGCCTTCTGGTCCTGGACTTTTGTTTGTTGGGAGATTCTTAATTACTGATTTAATTTCTTTCCTGGTTATCAGTCTGTTCCAATTTTCTATTTCTTCCTGTTCCAGTTTTGGTAGTTTGTATGTTTCTAGGAATTTATCCATTCCTTCCAGATTGCCCAGTTTGTTGGCATATAATTTTTCATAATATTTTTTAATAATTATATTTATTTCTTTGGTATTGGTTTGATCTCTCCCCTTTCACTCATGATTTTATTTATTTGGATCCTTTCTCTTTTCTTTTTGGTAAGTCTGTTAGTGGTTTAATCAATTTGGCAGCAACCTCTTTGACCTTGTCTGTAGCAACTTCTTACTAGACACATCAGAGCCAAGGGAAACAAAAGGAAAAATTAACTATTGGGACTTCATCAAGATAAAAAGCTTCTGCACAGCGAAGGAAATAAAACTTAAAGGCAGCCTTTGGAAAGGGAGAAGATATTTGCAAATGACATCTGATAAAGGGTTAGTATCTAAAATTTATATAGAACTTATCAAATTCAACACCCAAAAGCAAATCATCCAGTTAATAAATGGACAGAAGACACGAATAAACATTTTTTCCAAAGAAGACATCAGATGGACAACAGACACTCATCATCAGGGAAATACAAATCAAAGATGCTCAATATCACCCATCATCAGGGAAATAGAAATCAAAACCACTATGAGATGCCACTTCACTCTGTCAGAATTGCTGAAATTAACAACTCAGGAAACAACAGATGTTGGCAAGGACATGGAGAAGAGGGAACCCTCTTACACTGTTGGTGGGAATACAAACTGATGGAGCCACTGTGGAATACAGTATGCAGCTTCCTCAAAAAGGTAAAAATAGAGCTACCCTATGACCCAGCAATTGCACTAGTAAGTATTTACCCAAAGGATACAAAAATACTGATTCAAAGGGGCACATGCACCCTGATGTTTATAACAGCATTATCAACAATAGCCAAATAGTAGAGAGAGACCAAGTGTCCATCAACTGGTGAATAGATAAAGAAGTGATGGTACATATATACAATGGAATATTATTCAGTCATCAAAAGAATGAAATCTTGCCATTTGCAACAATGTGGATGGAGCTAGAGAGTATTATGCTAAGTGAAATAAGTCAGAGAAAGACAAATACCATATGATTTCACTCACTGTGGAACTTAAGAAACAAACAGATGAACACAGGGCAAGGGAAAAAAGAAAAAAAAGAGAGGGACACAAACCATAAGAGACTCTTAGCTATAGAGAACAAACTGAGGGTTGATAGAAGGGTGGTGGGTGGGGAATGGGCTAAATGGATGAGAGGTATTAAGGAGGGCACTTGTGTTAAACACTGGGTGATATATGTAAGTGATGAATCACTAAATTCTACTCCTAAAATCAATATTATATTATATATTAACTAACTAGAATTTAAATAAATTTGAAACCAAAAAAATACAAGGAAAAGAATGGAAAATTTAAAAAAAAGGCCATATCCCTAGAAGAAAAGGTTTTGGAAACAGTGTGATGGCTGCACAACATTATGAATGTAATTAGTGCTGACGAATTTACACTTTGAAATGGTTAATAAAAATCACAAATTTTGGGTTAGATATATATTTTACCACAATAAAAAATTATTATATAAAAAATAAATAACTAAATAAAAATTGCTTATTTTTTCCTCCTCCTGCTGGAAGCCCTGGGAAATATTTATCCAACATTTACCATGGGAATTTGGTCAGGCTATTGGAGGTAAATCTCAAAATATTGTGGAACACCATTATGACTGTTTCCCTTGAGTTTTTAACTTTCAGAGTTGTCTGCACTGAACCTCCAGTAATTCATCAGTAGTTCAGTTTTTCTAACCTGGCACTGGGTTCTTGCAGCAGTTTCTGTATGTGAGTCTCTGCTCTCATAAGCTAAGACTTCCTAATTTGCTTGTTTGTCTTTCTAATTTGTGGGTCAGCAGTTTGCCTTGTGTCCTCCCCTTTCTTATGGATCCAAGAAGAGTTGTTGGTTTTTCAGTCTGTTCAGCATTTTAGTTGTTTTTAGGATGGACTGGTGACTTCCAAGCTCCCTACGTAGGGAACTAGAAACTGGGAAACTGTACTGCATGTGTCAGTTTTTAATATGAAGTTTATGACAATGAAATGGTATTTTCTTTTCTTTTTCTTTTTAATTTTTCATATATTACTATAATATACAAAATTATATTCACATGTATGTATCTATGAATATGTGTGTGTCTTATTTTTAACAGCTGTGAAACCACTCCCCAAATATATGGATAATTATTTTAACCTATTTTTTAAATAGAACCTAGGTTCCCATTGATTTAAAATGTCATTTTTTGGGATGCCTGGGTGGCTCAGTAGGTTAAGCATCTGCCTTCAGTTCATCATGATCCCAAGGTTCTGAGACTGAGTTCTACATCAGGCTTCTTGCTCAGCTGGGAGCCTGCTTCTCCCTCTGCTGCCACTCCCACTGCTTGTGCTCTCTCTCTCTCCCTCTCCCTCTCTCTCTGACAAATAAAATCTTTAACAAAATAAATAAAATATTTTTTGCCATTTATCAATGATATATGTTTTTGTGTGTTTTGTTTCATTGGTCATCTTTCATTGACGGCACACTCTCTTAATAATTATAGGTTTATGAAAATTCCTGATTACTTAAAGACCAAGACCTTGTTCCATACTATACTCTTTGTTCCTAAGAGAGCCTAGGACTAAAAAAAAAAAAAAGACTCAAAACAATCCTTAGATTCTCACAAGAAGGAAATAGCCTGTGCAAGATGTATAGTTTCCATAAGGAATGAAAAATTAAGTGTCTCCCAGAGGGTGGATTCTCATATCCAAGAGAACAATAAGCAAGGAAGTTCCCTTTGGTCAGGAATGTGTGTCTAATAAAGTGACTTTCTCCACAGCAGGTCTAAGTGAGTGACTTTGAGGATAGACTGCCTTACAGGGCCTAGCCACAGCATTGTTTATAGTTAGCAGCTGTGTGCCCTATGTTTGCTCTTCCCTTTCCAAATTGCAAGTTTTCTACTGTGGTTCTATTGTTGTTCTACCACTGGTAACATATACAGGACTGATATTTAGTCCTTTATATCATATTTTGCAGGACCACAACAACTAGATCCAGCAACAATGGAGAAGACTACTCAATATCCAGAGATCCTGAATTTTCAGTTATCTATGGTAAGTGAATAAAACTTTGGATTTTCTCCTTTGGGGAAAGAGTAAGTCTATATCACCTGTGGGAAGAGGGTGCACAAGGATATGTATCAAGAGAAAGGTGGTTTGTGCAGAAATTACTAGCTGCTCAACAATGCACTTGTTCTGCATCTCTTGATCTCAGAGGCAGAGGTTTCTTATCTCTCTTGCTCTTTTGTGTGGACATTTCCTGAGTTCTAGCCAATGATGTGTGAGCAGAGTTGACATTTCTAATCTTGGCCCATTAAAAACTCCCAGGTGTGCTCCTGTGAGGTCTATATGCTTTCTGTCTATTTGGAATGGAGAGCATTGCCAGAGAGGCCTTGGATTGGCGTAAGGTAAACATGGCAGAAAGTCTGTTGGCCGTTTGGAGGAGGATTACCCTACTGATCTGTTATTCTTTTGAGCAAAAATAAGCTTCTAATATATTTGTGGTATGTTTTAGTGAGGGTGGGTATAACAAAGCATCATAGATAGGTTGGCTTATAAACAGAAACTTATTTCCGACAGTTCTGGAGGCTGGGGGTCTGAGATCAGAATACCCCCATGACTCTTTCAGGTTGCAGATCGATGTCTTCTCTTGGTATCCTCATGTGGCAGAAAGTGAGAAAGCTAGCTCTCTCGTCCCTTTTTATGAAGGAAATAATCTTGCTCCTGAGAGCTCTGTTTCATTACCTAATTACTTCTCAGAGGTCCCACCACCACATACTATCTCTTTGAGGGGTAGGATTTCAACAGATGAATTTCAGGAGGACACAGACATGAAGTCTGTAACATGCTATTTATTTTGGTCTCCATTTGTTGCAGTAATTAGCTGATCTTGCCTAATATTAACAAGATTACTAAAAGAGCAGTAAAGACATGTATTAATAAATTAATCCTGAATGAAACCTGTTCAACTTCTAGCCCCTTATTGTTATTTGTAATCAGTTTTATAATCATTCTTGTTTAACTATGTAGCCTTAATTAAATGTTTAACTCTCCCAAATTACTTTTTACGTGACAATAGTAAAAGACTTTGATGGTTAAATTCAACATAGAAAGTGATAAGGGCAAAGAGTATTATTACTGGCTTCTGTCGTGACTGGTTGAAGGGTGTTTTTATGTTATCAGGAATCTGTCTTTTATTTTTCTTGGCTTGGATTTCCTCTATGTTGACTTCATTGCTAGTCAGGTCTTTGTGGTAAAGATGGCAACTGGTTGACTCAAGCTTAGAATGCCTTTATTTATTGTTTTAAAGATTTTATTTATTTATTTGAGGGAGAGAGCAGAGTGAGAGAGAGAGAACGTATGAGCGGGGAGGGCGGGGGGGCGGGGGGAGGGCAGGGTCAGAGGGAGAAGAAGAAGTGGGTTTCCAGGACCCTGGGATGATGACCTGAGCTGAAGGCAGACACTTAAGCAGCTGAGCCATCCAGGCACCCCCTTAGAATGCCTTTAAATCTAGGTATTCTTATTTATTTTATTTATTTATTTATTTATTTATTTATTATTAACATATAATGTATTATTTGTTTCAGGGGTACAGGTCTGTGATTCATCAGTCTTACACAATTCACAGTGCTCATTCTGATGAGTAGTGGGCTGCTTCTCCAATATCTCTTTTTGGGAGGGCTGTAATTGATCTACTTTTCATTATATGGCATCATTTCTACAGCAAATAGTTTGCTGTAAAATAATTTTGATGCCACATGTCTAACCTTGTGGTATATGGACACATCAGAACTGCATAGAATGAATCCCATTTATGAAATAGAAGCTCATCTATCAGATAAAGGGGAAAAGTAATTAAAACACACACATACACACACACACATACACAACCACACACATACACACATAGACCCAAAACTCAGATTTCCACTATTGAGGAACTATCTAAATTTCAGCTGTAGTTACAGATGCTCAAATAAGTTAATTTCACAGTTCTTCCATAGTGTCATGAATTTAAAAATGTGTACATGGAATCACAAGTTGATAACCTAATCACCATCCTCCTTCAAAATGAAATGTGAATATTTCAGTGGCATGATTTTATTTTTCTTTTGTAGACCTCTTTCAGGCACTAATATGGGCTTGAATTTGGTCTGATACAGTGTTCTATCTCCTAGTACTGTCATCCAGAAGTTATATGATAAATGGATTTGAATTTATATCTGGTATAATGTTTTTCCTGTATGTAATCAATTAATTCCAACATCGTCTGCTGAATTAGATATTGAACTGTTTTCCTACTGATTTGTAAAGGCACTGCTACCAGATACAAATATTCATATGTGAAGATCTGAATCATGGCTTCTTAATCTGTTCATTGTCCATCTCTGTCCCAACATCACACACTTGATATCACTAAGTGTCGTAATATTTGACAGGATGAAGTGCTCTTCCTAATGCTATAGCTTTACATTTGTCTTGGCTATGCATTGCCCTTCTTTATTCCACATGGATTTGTAGCTTCCTTGTCAGCAGTGAAAATCATTTTTGGGATTTGGATCAGAATTCCATCCAATTTATAGACTAACTTGTAGAAAATTGGCATTCTTCACAATATTCAGTCTCTCCAACTGTGGATACATTATTCATTTCCTTTTTTGAATATTAGTATGCACTTTTAGTAGTAATAGGACTAGAAGTAGTAGAAGGAGGAGGAGTAATGATAGCAACAACCAGTTGAATGGTGGATACTATGTGATAGATGTTTTCAATGTACTGTCTGTATATCAAATCACATATTGCTATGGGTGGGAAGTATTATCTATGTTATACTAATGATGAAACTGAGCTACAGGGAACTTAATAACATGTGCTAAGTTATATTAGAGGAAGAGCTGCTATTTGAATGCATGCAGTTTATCTCCAGAGTTTAGAATCTTCACCAATATCTGAATATGCCTCCCTAAGAACTTGGGTCATCTTCTTAGTGATTCTACCTTTGGTTTATTACCTTGGATTTTCTAATTAAATAATTCTACTTGTGCATAACTGTAATAAATTTATTAGTTACCTTCCAATCCTTAAACTACTCATGTTGACTCGTTTACATATTACCTTAACTAAGACTTCTAGGAAAATGTTCATTTTCAAGGGTGATAATGTATTGCATTTGATTTAAAATAGAATACTTCTAAATATTTAGCAAGATGTTTTACTGTTTTAATAGTTAACATTATGAAGTTATTTCCTTTCTATTTTCCCCCACTCTTAAAACTATAAATGAGGGCTTAATTTTTTAAAATGTTTTTTCTGCCTCTATTTTCTACTGTAAAAACTTGGGCATTTTTTGAGATGCATCCCATGCTCTCAGAAGAGATTGCAAAGTCAAAGAAGCATTACTTCCATGTTAGACTTTCTGGTTGTAAGGCTTTCTATGTGATTTGTAAACTACGGGCTTGGGAGAGTTGGTTCACTTCCTTAACAATAACAATCTTAGATGTTGGTGAGAGGCAAACTTCCTCTGGGCCCTGCCCTTTGGGAAGGTCCTATGTATCACAATCACACAAAAAATGAATTTATTAAATGATACTTGAATGTCTTTTGTTGTTTTGCTGGTAAATATTTAACAACAGGCTCTCAAAAATGTGTGCGCATGCATATGCCTACATGTGTATTTACTTACAAATTTTATTGCTACAAAGGTTATGTATCATACTACTTATAAATAATAAAATACTCAGTACCATTTATTGTAAATTATATATAGCCAATTGCTTTTCACAAAATGTTTACATTGTTTTTTTTTTTTTTTTTTTTTAACTCCTGTATATTTTACCTAATTTTGAGTGTTGGATAAGCAGAGATAGTCCGAACATGAATGCGGGCTGATATTTTTCATTTACATTAGTAAGACGAAGTGAAATAATGAAGACATGTATTAGGATTTCATTTGTTCATCAGTGATGCAAGCACTTCTT